TATTGACAAGGATGTCACGAGCTCGGATGAGCAGGAAAGGAGTTTCGATGTTTAAAGGAAGTTGGTATTGTCTTCAGCGTCACATGAGATCGGTGTTTTGTGAAAAAGGATTTGTATCCTGGTTAAGGATTCTTGATCACTTTTCAGCGTTAGTGCGGCCGGTGGTTTGGATGTACAGACCTGTATCTGTTACGGAAGGTTGTGGGAGCGTGCCCCACGGGAGGGTTGTATAAGTGTGGCATGTAGTCACTGGATTGATTGAAGAGTTAAACCAAGTATAAAGATTGTGGTAATGTCGTTAAATTGAGAATTGATGCCCGGAGGGCACTCGGTTTATTGGGTTGTGGACTGTGGAGGATTACTCCAATTATGATGGTTGTTCTTGTGTGTTATGAGAAAAAGGGGAGTTATTATGGACCTTCGAAAGGTTATTAGCCTAGCTCAGTGCGATTAGAATCAGCTGGAGGTTTGTGGATGGATTTAAATGAGAATATGGGCTCTATATCAGGCCAGATGTGTTCATTTCAGCAATGCGCTCCTTATGGAAGAGTAGTCGGGGTGTTATTTCGTCGTCAGCTATTTCATGTAATGATATATTGCACCGTGTGAGTTGTGAGACAGCTTGGTAAATTTCTTATGTGTTAAGGTTCCGCGGAGAGATGATGTTATATGAGCAGAATGACTCTTGAGATTCAGATCGTATATCGCACCTCAGCTGTGCTTGAGCTTTGTAGCTTATAGCGCTATATGTCTCCCCAAGGATGGTATTATGCACTTAGCGTGCTTGTGACCGATATTCGGTATTGTGTTGTAATGCGCAATTTAGCTCGGTGTGTATCTCCTTATGTGAGTTTTATGTGTGGATCGGGTGGCACGCCACCACGGGTATGTTATTTGGATCGGGTTGCGCGCCGCAACAGTGTGATGTTGAGTACAATTACCTATATTTGTTTTTATGTGTTTTGTTTTTTATTTTTATGAGAACTTGTATTAGCTATGTGAGTTGAGTAGTCCCTTCCAGAGTTCGCTTTCATTTTGAATCGCGTTCGAATTAGTAGCCTATTGGCACATTGTGGCATCACATGAGACTTTTGGTCATGTCTGAGTGGTTTAGTTGCTGAGCAGTTCATTCTGGGTGAGATGAGATTATTGGATCTAAGATCAGTGCAATCGGATTATATGAAGAATATTAAAGGGCAAATACCATTATTTGGTTCAGAATGGGGTGATGGTTCTTGTCAGGGGTATAGACTCAATGAATTATTGACTCGGCAGTTGGTTGTGAATTTCTACGCGCATCTTCCGTCATGGCGGTATTGTAAAAGTTAGAGCAAGATGTATGTGGGTCGTGAGATGCATTGGGAGCGTCAGATTCGTGGAATTTCGACTAATTATGATCAGAGGATATTATTATGGTTGTGTGAGTTATGCAGGGCATAGTGTGAATTCAGCAAAGGTATGCAATCTTGTATCGGTGCATCGTGGGGTGATTGATGCGGTGTTCATATGTTGAAAGCAAGCCTGGCAGAGAGTTCTGGATGTTGGAACTGGGCTCTAAGCTTATTTGCCTGAATAAAAGAGAACATCTTCAAACTTGCTCGAACTAATGTGCTCAACCGAGTTGTGGTAGCACGGGTAGGTGCACGAGGTGTTAAGCAATGATTTCAGACAACTCCAGCGCAGTTCTTAGCACATTCGAGGACGAACGTGAGTTTAAGTGGGAGAGAATGTAACGACCCGACCGGTCGTTTTAAGCTTTAGCGCGTCGTTCAGCAGTTTGAGGCCATGAGCAGCTTCACTTAAGGTATTATGACTTGTACGCATGGTCGGAAATGAATTCCGGGAAGTTCGAAGTTGATTTGGAAAAGAGAATTCTCATTTCGGAAGCTTTAAGTTGAAAGAATTAACTAAGACTAGATTTTTGAGTAAACGACCTCGGAATTGGGATTCGAAGGTTCCAACAGGTTTGTATAATGATTTCGAACTTGACCGGGTTTTGGAAGACCCGAGAACGTTTCGGCACCTATTGTGGAAGTTAGCATTTTGGAAGAATTTCATAAGTTTGGGTTGAAGTGCATTTCAGTGTTATCAATGTCCGTTTGGGATTCCGAGTCTGGGAATAGCTCCGTATGGTGATTCTGGTGTTGGGAGCGCGATCGGAAGTGAAGTCGGAGGTCCGTGGGTCATTTTGGAGTCATTTGGAAATTTGAAGGTTTTCGAGAAGTTTGACCAGAAGTGGACTTTTTGATATCGGGGTCGGATACCAATTCTGGAATTTGGAGTAGGTCCGTAATGTCGAATGTGACTTGTGTGCAAAATTTGAGGTCAATCGAACGTGATTTGATAGGTTTCGACATCGAATGTAGAAGTTTGAAATTTTAAAGTTCATTAAGCTTGAATTGGAGCGTGATTCACGATTTCGATGTTGTTTGATGTGATTTGAGGCCTCGAGCAGGTCTATGTCATGTTATGGGACTGGTTGGTGTGATTGGATGGGGTTCCGGGGGCCTCGGGTGTGTTTCGGGGTGGTTTCGAATCATTTCGGGCTGTTTTGCTATAGCTGTTGCTGGTGTCTGGTGTTGTTCTTCGCGTTCGCGAAGAAGGTTTGGGCATATGGATTTTGTCCTTCGCGTTCGCGAAGAAGAAAATCTCTGTTGCGCAGGTCTGACTTCGGAGGCTCATATCTCACAATCTATAAGGAATTTGGAGATGATCCAAAAATGAAAGTTGTAGCCCTTTGTGTCTAGTTTTCAGAAATGTAAACCATTTAGCATTTGGATTTGTGTACCAAAAGTTATGTACAGTTATGGCTGGTACAGTATAGGCTGTCCGGGAAGGAGGCTCATATCTCACAATCTATAAGGAATTTTGAGATGATCCAAAAATGAAAGTTGTAGCCCTTTGTGTCTAGTTTTCAGAAATGTAAACCATTTAGCATTTGGATTTGTGTACCAAAAGTTATGTACAGTTATGGCTGGTACAGTATAGGCTGTCCGGGAAGATGAAGAAGAAATTTGTGTTGCACAGGGCTGACTTTGGAGGCTTATATCTCAAAATCTATAAGGAATTGAGAGATAACCAAATCATGAAAGTTGTAGATCTTGCTGTCTAGTTTTCAAAAAGTTAAACCATTTGTCATTTGGAGTTTTGCACAAAAAGTTATGGCCATTATACTAGAGGTTGTCTGAGAAGAGTTAGGAAAAATGATTTTTGGGAATCTCGCGAAGAAGAGTCGTCTGGGCAGTGTATAAGTGTAAAGAAATGGATTTGGCTCATTTCATCTCATTTCCTCCATGGGAGCCGACCTAAGAGCGATTTTGGAGCTCCATTTTCATCGTCCATGTCAAGGTAAGTGATTCCCACCAATTGCAAGTTAATTACTTGGATTATATCTAGATTTTAACATGGAAAATCATGTAAATTAGTGGAAATTTTGGGATTTTGAAGAAAACCTAGGAAATTTGTATTCTTGGATTTTGACCACGATTTTTTGACATGAAATTGAGAGCCAATTATATATTTGAGTTCGTGAGGTTGTGGGTGAAATTTATTTTCGAAAAAAATCGGAATCCGGGCACGTGGGACCGATGGCGATTTTGTCAACTTTTCGAGTGGAGTTGGGATTTTATATAAATTGAATTGTTATGAGTATTAGGGTGTATTTTCATTTGTTTGCCTGTTATTTGGCCAGTTTTGGAGCGTTGGGGCATCGGTTTGAATCGTCGGAAGGAGCTTGGAAGCAGGTTATTGGACTTCGGAGCGAGGTAAGTCTCCTTTCTAACCTTGTTAGAGGGAATTGTCCTCATAGGTGAATTAATTGGATATGTGCTCCTATTTGTGGGGGCTACGTACGCACGAGGTGACGAGAGTTCGTGCGTAGCTACTATTATGCTTAAGTCCGGGTAGTCTAGGCCCCAAAAGCATGCTTTACTTTTAATATTGCAACCTTGTTGTCAACTTAAAAATGCTTAAAACATATCGAACGTATAAATAAATTTTTAAAAGGCTAGACATCATTTCTTGACTTTTAAAAGAGAAGCTTGCCTTTTCCTGAATAATTGCTCCTTGATAAATTCTTGATTTGACTGTTTGAATGTGTTTATCTATTGTGGAACGGGCCGAACGCCTCGGTAGATTAAATAGATGCATCTATGGTTCGCGTCATTCGACCCTCTGGCAGTGCACAGTTTAAATATTGTTGGATCGGGCCGTACGACCTCGACATGATTTGCGCATGCTTGTATTGCTTGCCTTGAGATTTATAGAAATTGATATTTGCTCTCCCTGAATTGAGATAAATTGATAATTAATAGGTTATGAATTTGGAGACTTTTAATACAAAAAGGAATGTTTACCTGTTTCGTGACTTATTTGAATTTACTGCCGTTTTTAATAAATCCCTGATTATTCGTATTAATAATATATTACTATTGGACCACTAGTAAGTGTCGAAGTCGACCTCTCGTTTCTACTTCTTCGAGATTAGACGGGATACTCGCTGGGTACACGTTGTTTTCGTACTCATACTACACTTGCTGTGCATTTTGTTACACAGGTTCATGTGTGGCTGGTGGCTTAGTGGCATAGCGGCATGGTTGATACGGAGATTTAGGTGAGCTGCATTTGTCAAGACGACCCGCAACCAGCAGAGTCCCCTTTAGAGTATTGTACTGTATTTTATTTCTGTCCATTTTGTATTTCGGACAGTTACTGTATTTTATTTCATTCCTAGTAAATGCTCATGCACTTGTGACACCGGGTTCTGGGATGATTATTGGGTATCTTGTATTTATTTCTATACATTCTTTTATTTACCTTGTAAGGATTATCTTTTACTAGTAGAATTGAAGGAAAATCATAGCATTCAAAATTATTAAAACGAAAATTTAATTAAGTATTTTGGTTGGCTTGCCTGACAGCGGTGTCCGGCGCCATCACGACCCTTAGTGGATTTTGGGTCGTGACATGGAATTAGTGGATGCAGGGAAACTTAAGAATACCTTAGTTTTCCGGGCATAACGTAAAGCTTCAAGATAGTATCCATCTTGAACAAGTAGCAACACATAGTCATGGTGTAATGTGAGCTCTCTGAGCATATCCAGGCCCAACTTCTTTGTTTGAAAATTCTGCCTGCCTGACGCCAATAATTGCATTGCAACTTCTTTTGAGGGCTCAATTATCTGAAACACAATAAACACAAGTTTAGGGCTCATATAAAGTGTTTATCACAAACTCTTGGCATTTCTTAAAATATACACTACCACAATTTGCTAACCTTATTCATGATCAACAATCCAAGTTCCGCATAATTTTCGTTCCGTGCTAGCAGTTGTATCATCAATATATAAATATTCGGAGGCACTTTCAACCTTTCCAGGTTAGCACTGAAAGAATGGATACATGATCTATAAGATACAGAAAGAACAGTCCATGCATCAAAAGAAGATAACTGATCAGAAAGAAGAACAAGCAACTTTTTGTCCTTTTACCAGCAGAAAGAACATGGTACAACTGTAGCAGTTCAGACGGATGAGGATTTAGTTACAGACAAGGTGAATCCTATATTTTAGGAGAATTGGATGGGGTTTGAACGGTTTGGTGGTAAATTTTTCTTAATAAGTTTTCTTTCGGAAAATTTTCTGAAAACCAATGAGTGTTCGGATCCAAAAGGGATTGGATATTTTAACAATACTATAAACTAATTGGCAATCATTTATTTTTTAAGACTATCAATCAAACATCCACATTACTAGTTCATCCAGATCATGTTAGCATTGTAACAATATTCCTGAACAAGCATTAGACTATTAAGTAAATTTGTAACATAAAACAACATAGAAAGAAAATTTAAAAGAAAACAGATAGTAACTTTTCTTTTAAACAAATACATGAACTGGAATAAATTATAAAACTTTTTTGATTATAACAATATGGATATAATGTAGGCAACTTTTTAAAAAGGATAATAACGTATAAGAAAGGGGGCAAGGGGAAGAAGTGATATCATTTAAATACCTGTGACCTACTGTTGAGGTAAGATTGGTTTGACTCTAAACTTCCATTGAAAAAGTTTTGTATATTTCTTTCGGGGTCAAAAATGGATCCTCACAGATGAACTATCTTTTATTAACAGCAGACTTATTGCATCCTCTATTAGTGAATGTAATATTCAAACTGTTTCTTTCTTTCTAAATGTGATTAGATAACGATGGCATCATGGCCGTTATTTATGAGATAGCTCCGAGAGAGTGTACCTGCGTAGGAACTCAACAATGACAGCAACCAAGTAAGACGAATCCCCGGCTATTTCTTCTTCTACAGGAGCAAACACAAAGCTGCACAGATCATCAGGGGATATTGCAGCAGAAGTTACCAGAGACTCCTGCTGCTCATCAGTTCTTAGGGGAGTGCTACCTGTTCCAGGAGCTTGAGGTCGTATAACAGAAGGCTGAGCTTCAACACCAGATATATCTGTGCCCACTAAGTAACCTCCATCTTGTTTACTACTAGACAAATTGATATTTTTAGATTTGCCTCTATTTGGTGCAAAGCTAACATTGTCCTCAGAGTCCGAAGTAAAGGAAGAGGAATTGACAATAGACTTGTCGTGCATGCCACTAGCGCTTTCTTGTTTTAGTGACTTTTCAGATGCATCTGTTTGATTGATGGATTCGCCAACAGCACTATTAACATTAGAACCACTGGCTGTTGAACTTCTCTCCACTTTTGACCCTGCCTGATATATTCCAGTTTTTATTGAAAGAGAGAAAAAATTCACTAAGACGTCTATTGCCCTCGCGACCATGGGCACAGGTCTTCGTTCGAGAATAATTGTCCGAGCAATTGCCAAACACAACTGTTTAGCCTGAAACAGACAATTTCAGATGGTGAAAATATTAACTTAGTGCAAAATATTCAACAAAGACATTTCTGGGAGGTACTATTGATACAAAAATATTAATGTCTCGATGGAAACTGCTTCTATCCCAACAAATAAACCAGAGCAAATCATCCATTATTTTTTGTAACACAACATGTTCATGCATAAAACAGGAAAAATCAACATTTGTATGTGCGCAAGCAGCAGTTGCATTAAAAGAAATTAGAACCGAAAGATGAGACCTTATTTGCTTCCAATTTCCTCCTCTGCAAAAATTCAAGGATTGTTTGCACTTCTGAGCTGCTAGCGGAAATGGCCTGTAAAAGATAAAGACAGTAGTACAGTAACTTCCGTATCGTGATATTGACTAGCAATCAGAGATTCAGAATTTACCTCCAGATCTAAATTGATCTTCCACAAAACTCCATTGGCAATATCACATATAAGGTCTGGAACGAGAAATACCCACTCGTCTGCATAGATGACTGTTTCACCATGATTTGAGTCCTTTCCCGCCGGACCTTCATCATTTTGGCACATCAATTGAGAGGCTGCAGCATTTGCTCTAGAGAAACCTCTAACTAATAATGGAAGTGGAGCAGATATAGGCGCTCGAGAATCTGCAAATATATCATATATAATAACCACCTTCGCATCCACTTGGTGAACAAGCAGTACATTGTCTACCACACTGACAGTTATCTTATTGGAATAAACTGGCAAAGAACCCTGGAAGTATAATTAGGAGTCATCAGAGAAGAAGGAAAAGTTATTTCCGACAAATATTAAATGAAGTTGGTATCTGCCAATATAAATGCAAGCAGAGCAAATACCACATGAAATCCTCCAAAGTGTAACTTTCACCTATTTCATTAGGTTAATGCATTTATTTGACCTCAAGTTCTAGAAGAAAGCCAACCTCTCGGTAATACAATCAAAAAGCAGACCAATATATGTTTTAAGGACAAGCAGCTCTAGAGATGAACTAGAAGTATGAGCAATTAAACACAAGACATCATTTCAATTAAACAAAACCCATAAAAGGGGATGAAAAAATAGAATGTCATATGAATATCAGATACACCATATTCTTCTCAGAAATGTTTAAAAAGAGACATTCTGCCTACACTTGGTTCTGATGCAGTTGGTCACCTGAATGTTGTCCATTCCTAAGAACTAGTTCAGCATCACTTGTAAAAATCAAATTAGGAGCAACACACAAATTTATACAGATTATAGAAAATTAATGTACTAGCATTTTTATCGTCAGATCAAGAGCGGATGGGAAGAGCCAAATGATCTGGTCAGAAAACTTAGAGAATAAGCTAAAGACAAAACTAGAAAGTTTGAGTAGGCATGAGAGATGTTAGATTAGGGCTTCAGTCAAACCCTCCACACCCCGCAAGAATGCTACCAAACCCTCCATGTGTCATCATGCACCGCCAGAACCTCCTAGACTTTGTCATTATGCAATGAGTGTAGTCTGCCTCGATTAGTTTCAAGTCCACTTTGTTGGATTCTTGGTGGTGGACTCCTCTTCCAACTCCAACTTAATTTTAAACTTCCTGGTGGTTGGAACCCTATTCCGCCAATGTAGACTTTCCATGCAAATCGTTCACTTTCTAGCCATTCCAGTCTTTTCCATACTGCAGCTCGAGGGTCGATTCAGGCCATTGTGCAAAATTTTTTGGCTACTTTCTGGAAAAAAAAAATTCCAGCAATTTCCTTTGGATTAAAATTTCCAGCAAGTTCAATTTAGGTGGCATTTGTTTTGAAAAACTAAAATTCTTTTTCAGTTTTTGCAAAAGGCATTCACAAAAGAGGAGGTGTTGGAGAGTTAAATTGGTAATGGAGTCAATTTCAAAAAGGACTACAGTACCCTCGGATAAGGGAACCGGTTTGGTTGAGTAGGATGAATCAGTTCACTAAGTCCAAAACTGCCTCAATACCCAAAAACCAAATGGTTTAAAGGACCAAAATCGAACCGATATCAAACGCAGGGGAAAGAAGGGAGGTTAAGGATGGATCAAGGGGAAAGAAGGAGGGGGAGATTAAGGATGGGAGGTCTCCATGAGAGTCAATTAAAGCATGGAGCATGCAGAAACCAACGCAAATCAGTTTAACTGGGGGAGAAAGGAGGAGGACAGCTGTGGGCAGACTCTAAAATTTAAAGATCCTTCTCCGTTGGCCTCTAATTTCGCAAAACCGGCCTCCCAAGGATATTGCCGAGTCACTAATGGTTCGCTGCCAAGTCGCAGTGGCCCCGAACAACATGGGTTCTCCAGTGAGACCATTAAAACAGAATGTGTTGAAGGAAAGAGACTTGGG